AACATCTTTATGGGGTCTGCACTTGGTAACCGTCAGCTAAATCCTTATGAAGTGTGGCACGAGCCTGGCCTCTGCCACCCCCTACCCTTTTGCCAGGGCCCTGACCCTAAATTCTCCCCGTGTTTTCTTTCGGCCAGATTTGAGGGCCCCAGGGTGTGTGAGGGCTGAACGTCTTAGTGCTTCCACAAAGCTGTTTCAGGGTTTTCTGAAGTGGCCTTGCTTGGTGACTTATAAAGAAACAGGGCTGAGGCCTGCCTCTGCCCGCTGAGTCAGCATAGCGGCTGTTGTGTTAAAGGAGGAACTGGGTCTGGTTGGGCAGAGGACATCTTTCTGGAAGAAAGAACAGAATCTTGCTCGTCTTTCCATTTTCTTCTGAAACCTCCTGAGTGCTGGCTGGGTCTGGTCTCACGCTAACCCACCCCTGGTTCCCACTGGAAGCCAAGCCTGGTGCTGCCAGAGCCCGGAGGGCGTGGGTTTCCCAGTCAGACAGATTGGATTCAAATCCTGGCACTTCCTCCTCCGAACACTTTCAAGTCTTTGTTATTCACTCCCCACTCCACCTACCCCAGATCTTGCATTCTCCTCCAATTGCATCAGATCATGTTTTGCTTCCAAACTTCGCTGTGTACAAGTGTCCAATCTGCCTTCTTATTGGAAAGACTTTTGTGCTGGACTTGACTCTCCTGGAATGCTCTCGGTGTGTTTTTGTTCTAGTGCAGTGGTCGGCAAACTGTGGCTCACGACCTGTGGTTTGCCGGTCTGTTGACTAATGAGTTTGCTGACCACTGCCTTAGGGAAAAACACTTAAAACACATTTTAATAATGTATTAATGTCTAAAACCTGAAGTCAAAACTTCTGGGTAAGGATAATGCCTTACAGCAGTGGTCGGCAAACTCATTAGAGTCTAGTGGTTCAACTACACAAGCTTCTCTGGCTTCTGATTGCTCTTCTGTCCAGCTGCTGGGTGCCCTGCAGCTGGCACTCTTTAGACAGCTGCCATCCTGAGAGTGAGGCAGGCACTGCAATCTGCCCATCTGGATTGGTGTGTGAGGCAGCAGCCAGTTGAGAGTCCTTTACTGGGCCCTAAACTGCAAAGGCTAGTGAAGCTTGGGGCACCCTCTGCTCAGGGCCAGACACCCCCTCCCCCAACACCCAGCTCTTCCAGTGACCCTGACATGGAAGCCACAGCCCTGCCCCCCTATGGCCCGGAATCACCACTCTAACCCTCTTGGTACCACAGCATTCCTTCTTTTTCCTGCCCTTGTCTCCAGGACCTCCTCACACAGAGGCTTAAAATTCCTGTACCTGTTCCATCCTTCCATCGTTTAGGGCCCCAACTGAGCCAGAACACCACCCCCATTCTTTGAGCCTGAGCCGCTTGTGTTAGGAGAGCAGAGTAGCGGGATGGAGGCTGGGTCGTGAAGCATCATGGATTCTACAGAATAAACTGGCCCTTTTCAGAATTCTTCTCACTCTTCCCTCTCACCCAGAACGGGCTTTTTCACTGTTTTATGTTTTAATCTTTGATTCCTATGGAGTTTATGTGGATGTTTTGAGGAGGGGCCTTTTGGAACCGAGACCCAGAACAATGAGCCTGGTTCTGAGAATGTGGCAAGATGCAGGGCGTTGGACCCAATTGAGCAGGAAGCACTGCCGCTGCTTCCGGCCTCACTCAGGGCATTGCTGGGGCAACCTGGGCGGGAACAGGAAGCAACGGGAAGGAGCAAGTCCCTCCCTCCCCACTCCAGCCTTCACTCCCCATCTAGCGCTCACTATGGGCAGCACCCTTAGGGAGCCAGCTGGCAAAGTAGGAATAATGGTTTAGAGTTCCAGTCCAGCACCATAAAGCTGCGTACAGTAGTCCTTCCCTCATTATCCGCAGTTTCACTTTCCACCGTTCCAGTTACCCATAGTCAACTACAATCCAAAAAGATTGAATGTAAAGTTTCAGAAATCATTAATAAGTTTTAAATTGTGTGCCCGTCTGAGTAGTGCGATAAATTTATCCACAATACAATGTTGAAAGATGCAGGACATTGGACCCAAATGAGTAATCACAGTTGCCATCTCAGGCAGCAGATGGACTGTCACAGTTCGTAGTGCTTGTGTTAAAAACAAACAAACTTATTTTACTTAATCATGGCCCCAAAGCACAAAAGTAGTGATGCTACAGTTTGGATATGCCAAAGAGGAACCATAAAGTGCTCCCTTTAAGTGAAAAGGTAAAAGTTTTCAGCTTAAAGAAAAAAAATAGTATGCTGAGGTTGCTAAGATCTACACTAAGAACAAATCTTCAATGGATGGAATTGTGAAGGACAAAGAAGTTATGGCTAGTTTTGCTGTTGAACTTAAGCTGCAAAAGTTGTGGCCACAGTGAGCAATATGTGTTTAGTTAAGATAGAAAAGGCATGACCTGTTTGGATAAGAGACAAACACAAAATGCATTTCGACTGACAGCCATGTGCTGTGCTGGAAAGCATGGAGCCTGTACAGAGACTTCAGCAAGGATCCCCTGAAAGGAGTGACACCGAGATCACTGCTTTACTGCGAGTGAGGGGTGGCACAGACTCAGGAGTAGGTTTGGACTGACATTATAACAGTTACTGGAGAGTAAGACTGCATCTGCCTATGGCTGCTGAGCTGAATTTGACTAAGTAGACAGGATAGCATCCAAAGCAAGTCTATAATTGTGATAAAACCAGGCTCTTCTGAAGAAGATGCCCAATAGAACCTACATTCATTAAAGTACAGTCCTGGCCAGCTTGGCTAAATGGATAGAGTATTGGCCGCTCACCAAAGGGTCCTGGGTTCCATTCCCGACAAGAGCACATGCCCGGCTTGCAGGATCCTCCCCAACCTGGGCCCGGGTCAGGGTGCATGCATCAATGTGTTTCTCTCACATCGATGTTTCTCTTTGTCTTTCCCTCTCTCTTCCACTCTCTATAAAGTCAATGGGAAAATATTCTTGGGTGAGGATTAAAAAAAATAATAATAAAGTACAAAGGCACCAAGGCATAAAACAAGGAAGGACAGATTAAGTCTGGTACTATGTGGCAATGCTGCAGGGCATATGCTGAAGCCAGGTGTAGTGTACAGAGTGAAGAACCCATATACTCTCAAAAACAAAAGCAGATGGTTGATCCTCCTTATGATCTTTCATTAGAAAGTCAATAGTAACCTAGCATGACATCATGATGCCTACGACATTCACCTCACTTCATCTCACCAAATAGGCATTGTATCATCTCACAAAAATCACAAGAGCAGCATCAGTATAGTACATGTTTCTCATGTGTGTTTTTTTAAATATATTTTATTGATTTTTTACAGAGAGGAAGAGAGAGGGATAGAGAGTCAGAAACATCGACGAGAGAGAATCATCAATCAGCTGCCTCTTGCACACCCCCTACTGGGGATGTGCCCGCAACCAGGCACATGCCCTTGCCTGGAATCGAACCCTGGACCCTTCAGTCCGCAGGCCGACGCTCTATCCACTGAGCCAAACCGGTCCCGGCTCTCATGTTTTAATATCAATGTTTTGTTGGCTGGTTAAAGGAATTTGGAAGATAATCTTGCTGTATGCTCTGTAATTATTTGAACAGTATTAAAACCTTCTGTGTTCTGAATATTTAATAACATTCATCTGTGAAACTCTGGCCCTGGCGTGACAATTTCTCAATTTCTTAGTAGATGGTTGGTGTTTTAGGTTGTTTATCTCTTTAATGATTAACTGGGTAATTTATTTTTTCTTATATTTTCCCCCCTAAGATTCTGAAATTTATTTCTGGGTATGGAGCAAAAATATTCTTATAAAATTTCTAATTTTCTTGGCGACAATGGTATGGATCCCGTTTGAGTTGGGTGGTGACTCTGGATTGAGGAACCCGGGGTGGGGACCGGGGGGGAGGGTGGTGGAGATGAAGGGCAATCTGAGCTAGCACAACCCTATTCCCTCTACCATCTTCTACCTCCATCTGTCTCCATTCAGAATTTCAGCTTAAAGATCTCATTGGGGTTTTGGTCACTCGAATAAAAGCATGAAACATCACTGACCTCAAACTGTGAAGTTGAAATAATACATTTGAGTAAGTGTAATAATATGATAGTATTCCTGTTCCCCAAAACAGTTTATCTTGAATTTCACTGAGAATACTATTGAGAATTTTCTTCAACATTTACACCATCTTCCTGCAATAACTCTTTCTCAGCAAAGACTGATTGTTTGGGTTGTTAGTTTGTTTCTTCTCTATTGGATTAAAAATCTAGATGAACTATCAGAGTGTTTTTCCATTCTGCTCACTCTTTGCTCTGGACTTCTAGATTGATTACTCTTGAGAGCTGGCTTGGAATTCCTCATCAATTATGCGGGTGATTCTTAGATGTCTCCTAGTGAGCATCACTTCCATCTCCCTCTGACCTATCTGTGGCTTTGGAGATTCTTAGGTAGAAAGTGAGTGATGATTCCGCTTGGCTGCATGCTTGGTCAACCAAGGTCAGATGATTAATGGATTAACCTGATCTCCTTGACACATATCAGTCCCCACATTACTCTGATGACCCATCGGAGGCCATTGATATCTAGGGACAGAACCCAGAGATGAATAGCATTTTTAAAAACTGAAAAGACAAAAAGCCTGAACCTTTGACTTGCATCTTTTTGCTACATTTTCCTCATTACTCTCTCTGCTCCAAGAGTATGACTGATTTTCTGATGGGGACTTTGATTAAGGAGAAGGGAAAGGGATTAATTATGGAGACATAAGAAGGGAAATTTTTAGGAAACAGTTTTAAGAATTAATAAGGAAAAAGAAACAATGAGGATAAAGATAAAAATATTCTACTATTTAATATGGAACAGGAAGAGTTGAAAGGTAGCATAAAATAAGGACCCATTCAAATATATTCAAAGAAAGAAGCCAAAGAGCCATTGAGTTACAGATCTTCAGACTAGAGCTTTTTATCAGTTAAACAATAAAACTTGAAGAGCTGCTTTTTCTTGACATCGATTTGTTCACTATGCATCACAGAGATAGAGAACTATGAGGCTTTGCCAATAGGAACATACTGTTGTAGAACTGCTTGTAGAATGAGGTGGGGAAAAGTCTCATAAAACGTTTTCTGTTCACACAGAGCCATTCTGTGGAATTAGACTTGCCTGTGTCACCTTTGATGTAGTTGGCCCTTCATCTTGAACTCTGAGATTCTCAGGTGGGAGAAGCTAGAGAGCAGAGGTCCATCGGGACTTGTCCTCCATCACTGGGCGAAATGTTTGGGAAATACCAGGTTCTTCACAGCGGCTTTCACGTCCTTGTTCCTCAGGCTGTAGATGATGGGGTTGAACATGGGGGTCACCACCCCATAGAAGAGGGAGATGAGCTTGTCTGAAAGGTCCTGTTTGTCTGCCCCCTGAGGGTCCTTGGATTTGGGTTTCCCGTACATGAAGAGGATGGTCCCGTAGAAGACGACCACCACGGTGAGGTGGGCAGAGCAGGTGGAGAAGGTCTTTCTCCTCCCCTCTGCTGAGGGGATCCTCAGGATGGCGGCCATGATGAACACGTAGGAGAAAGAGATGAACAGGAGTGGGATGCCTACGAAGACCACGTTGGCCACTGTCATACTGATCACATTGATGGAGATGTCGGCACAGGCCAGCTTCAGGACAGCCAGGATCTCACAGGTAAAGTGGTTGATGATGTTGTCCCCACAGAAGGGCAGTCGCATTGCTAGGGATGTCTGTACCATGGCAGTGGAGCTTCCAGCTGCCCAGGAGCCTGCAGCCATGGGCACGTAGGCAGCCTTGCTCATGATCTCAGGATACCTAAGGGGTTTGCAGATGGCCACATAGCGGTCAAACGCCATCATGCCCAGAAGCACACACTCCGTGGCCCCCATAGCAAAGGAGAGAAACATCTGCACGGTGCAGGCCGAGAAGGGGATGGTCTTCCTGGGGGTCAGGAAGCTGTCCAGAATGAGGGGCACGGAGGAGGTTGTGTAGCAGATGTCCAGGAAGGAGAGGTTCCCCAGGAAGAAGTACATGGGGGTGTGCAGGTGGGGGTCAGAGATGGTCACCAGGATGAGGACCCCGTTACCCAGCAGGATCACCAGGTACATCAGCAGGATGAGCACAAAGAATGTACTCACCAGCTTTGGGTGAGCAGAGAGGCCCAGGAGAATGAACCCCACCCCTGGGGAGGTCTGATTGGACCTGTCCATGCTGCATTTACTCTGTCGTCTTCAGGAACTCAGAAAGCCAGCTTCATGATTATCTGACGCCTAAATTGGTCAGAAAGCCAATGGAGAAACGCCTTGCTGAGCAGCTGGAGAACTGCTCTGGCAACGTGGATGAATCTCTCTGCTGTTCTAAGTAAAATGCAGAGAATTAGATCAAAATCTACCTGAGGTTATTTGGCCACCCCATAGGGATGTTTTAAATGTCACCTGATTGAATTTAATATTCCAATCAAATTCGAGATAGGAATCACTCATGTACTTCAACTTATAGCATGTATAGCTGATTCATTTTAATCAATTTTGTGAGAAGTGTTATATTTCATTTGTGTGTTTTTCCCCCCTTTGGGTCATAGATCTTGGGGAACTAACTGGTCTCCTTTATCCTCAATTGCTGACAGTTACTCTTTCCACATACTTTTGGATATGACTTTCTTCTTCATTTACAGTTCTGTCTGATAGTTTAAAGGCCCCTAAGCTATTCATTCATTCATTCTTTCATTCCTTCCCTCATTCATTCATTCACTTGCCTGACAAACTCCTCTGGAGCACTTGTCAGAAGAAGTGGGCCTTCATCAATCACTCGGCGTGTGGGAATCATTAAGTCCCTTTTCCTCTCCAGGTCTTGTTTTCCTAACATTTACTTTGGAATGGGTTATTCTAATGCTATTCCATCCCAGGATCTAACCGATCTCCTGAACTTCTCATCCTCGGACTTTCTCTCCTACCAATGAGATGTCCTTTTCTCCTTCCTTCAAGTTACCCCCACGCCACTTAGTCAAGGGATGAAGCCAGCAACAGGGCTGAGACCACAAGAGTCTACACCTTCTTTAAAAATTGCCCTCTTACCTTTTTCTGGTAGATACGTTGATAAAGAAAATTACTTCTTTGAGGTTTGGGAATAGTCCAGGGTCATAAAAATTGCCAATCTGGTTTGAAGTAGCAGCCAGAGGAGTTGGAGTCTGCAATGTGTTAAAGCTACGCTTCCTTGTCCTTGGGTAAAACCCACAAAGGACTGTCCATTGCATATATGAAGCCACTTAAATTCTACCCTCCTATTGGGATTATACAAGTCCCTGAAGTAATTTAAAGTTTAGAAACTAAAGTGACAAAGTTTAGAAACTTTATACATCCGGGATTATGTCCCCAAGATCCAATTTATTCAGAAGTCCTGCCAGAGATACTTTCTTCCCCCTCCTTCCCCCGTACCCATCCTGCTGAGCTTTTGAAAGCACCCGGGGAGAAGGGTCATTCTGGTCCTCAGTCAGTGAGAACTCACCTACAGCCTGTGATATTCACCAGAGGATGTGAAACCATGGTGCAGGACAAATCCTCTTGTTATCTATTTTAATTTCTATTTTTTAAAACATTTTAGAATGTGCATCACATGTTGGTACAGTAAAACATCTAAACATTTTATAAATAAACAAACAAACAAACAAACAAACACACAGTGTAAATGGTAAGGAAGAAAGATTTTAAAACCTAGGAGGCCCCTGACCCCAGATACCTAGGCTGCACTACAAATGCTATAATAATCTGGGATTTGATTCAGAATAACTCAGGAGAGGAAGAAGTAGTCCATGGAGGTATGGGTGAACAGGATTGGCCATGAACTGGTCATTGTTGAATTTGAGAGATTAATACCTGAGGATTCATTTTATTATTCTCTCCACTTTTCTATAAGTTTTAATTTTCTCATAAAATGAAAGAAAAATGACCTCAAGTCTTAGCTCATGCATCGCAGCTTCTATCTCTTTCTTGTGGGTTTAGTTCTCTTTATGCACTTGATTTGTCATCTCTTTCTGCAGACCAGCTTTCTCTGTCTTACAAGACCATGGCCCTATCAGTCCTGGATTTATGTGGTCTCTCAGTTTAAGAGGCCTGTGCCACCCTGGCCGGGTAGCTCAGATGGTTAGAGCGTTTTTCCGATATGCCAAGGTTGTGGGTTCACTCCCCAGCCCTATTATCAACTAACAAGGGTCTCTATATCCAAATCCCAAATTCCTTGGAGAGAAAAATATAGTGAGCCATATTTTGGTCAAAAGTCCAACCATCTGTGGTCAGGAGAAGGGACATGACTGTCCTTTAATTGGGTGCTAAGGGAGAAGATATTCTGCCTTCGGTAGGCTTCCTAGCTGGTGTGCTACAAGCTCCAGATATGCCAGGCTCAGTGCCCCTGCCCCCCAGGGTCACTAAGTAGGACATGTAGTGACCTAAGCCCCCAGGTGAATAGACTCATCCATTTACCCCAGGGTGCCATTCAAATACCATTATTTTCTATGTATTTCATGCCCAGGAAAAGATTAGGAGATATTGAATTAGTGGGCAGGGTGAGGGCAGATTCCAGAGAAAGATATCTACAATGTAAAACAAACCAAGTTTGCAACCATGATAAATAGGGGAGCTGGAATCTAACCAAGGTCTGGTTCCAAAACTTCTGATGCTAACACTACTCTAGACTGCCTCACCCAACTATCCTACGTGATTTTTGCTAAGTATTTCCAGTGTTCACAGATTATGAAAAGAGAACACGTGTTCCTTAAGCATTGGAGTCTGTGTGGTGTCACAGTTTGAATTTTCTGGGAAACAAACTCTGAGATGGAGATTGGTGTGCAGGAGGTTGATTAGAAAGCGCTCTTGAGATCAACACTGGAGGGAGGATAAGGAAGCAGGACTGGGCAGAGGGGGAAGTTGGGCTGCGATGCAGTTTCAACAACGGCTTTGGCCAACTCCATGGAACTGGGATGGTGCTGCAGAATTGTCCCAGTGGGAGCAAGACATGTATATCCCTCATTAATTGGTCACTGGATATGGGCTGCCATGAGGAAGGGGGCATGATGTTGGGTGAATCTGCTCTTTTTACTTAAGAGCCCTCTGTAGTAATTCCTGAGGATGCTCAGAGCTGAAGGCTGTCTGCTGGCAGTACTTTCAGCAGCTGGAGGAACACCTCCTTCAGTCCTGTAGAAAGATCTGGGCGGGAATTAGGCACAGTTTTCCAAGTCAAAACTAGTGAAATAAAGTTGTTGAAAAGGAATTTTGCTTTTCAGTTATGTTTCATTTTATATATATATATATATATATATATATATATATATATATATATATATATATATATTTCAGAGAGGAAGGGAGAGGGAGAGATAGAAACATTAATGATGAGAGAATAATTGGTCAGTTGCCTCCTGCATGCCCCACACTAGGGATCGAGCATGCACCCCGGGAATATGCCCTGACCAGGAATCAAACTGTGACCTCCTTGTTCTTAGGTCTATACTCAGCCAGGTGGGATGTTTCATTTTTTTAAAGTCAATTCTTGACTTAATAAGGTTGGAATTCATTCCTGAGTTAATGTCATCCTCTCTATAGTGAGCTAAAAAGTGCGTGAAATGACTCTATGCTCAGTAAGGTGAGAAAAATGCACACCAGGATGGCACAGATAACACTGTCTTTGTGATGGTGAAACAGGAACATGCCCCATGTGCTCACTCTCACAGCCCGAGACTATGGAAGGGGCCACACAGGCTGTGACTGGTGTCCATGTTTCTGCCCAGTAAGAGCAGGACAGCACCATGGGGCCAAAGAGAGCTGCTGGCCATGTCTTAGCAAGGAGGAACCAGGCACCCAAGCAAGGCAGGCAAGGAGCTTTTTTTTCTTCTTCTTCATTAGAAAGTCTTGATTCTCAGGAAAAAATTCTACATCCAGTTGCTTCGAGGAAAAAGAGATATTCCAAGTCCTCTGTGTTGCAATAGCTTGCCCTTTCTCATTTCTCTACTGATTGAGATCCTCACATATTTTCCTTCTGGACCTCTCATCAGGCACCTTACTTCACCTTATTCTGGTCACGCCTTACCATTCTGACTCCGACTTCTCTCAGACTGCAGTGGCCCCGGCTCTACTCCCTCCCAATAGGTCCATCCTTTAACTCTCCGGACTATAGAGCCAGACTATGTACTTAAAGAAGACGTACTGAGGGCAGGAAAATTAACCTTAAAACTGGATGGAATTAATGGATTCCAGCTATGAGTGCTCCAAGCCTAAGACCCTCCACACCTGTGTTACAGGATCTGGCTTACTTGCCCTCAAAGGAAATGCCTGACATGGAATCTGCATGGTTCCAACTCCTCTGCATCTCAGGGAAAGGAAGAAGACCAACTTCCTTCTCATCTCCAAGGTCAGCCCTGCCTTCAAGAAGAATAAAACTTGAAAATATGCCATTTCATCAACAATGAAGACAGTTTTTTATACAGTTTAAGAGGCCTGATGCATGGAATTTGTGCAAGGGCCTTTGCCCCTGCCACCACAGCAGCCGCCTCTGCCTCGGCCCCTGCCCGCCACGGCTTTGTCCAGAGGGAGGGACTTCCAGAAGGACATCCTGTCTAATTAGCATATTATGCTTTTATTATTATAGATGTCGTGAAGTTTTGCCCACACTGTCTCCAGAGTAGGATTTTGGATCTTTATGTAACATAAAGGTACATTAAACTGTTTTTCTCCCCAAAATGAAGCAACCTACTCACAAAGATGAGTTCAGATGTTTCCAGTAGAGAATCAGAAAATTCACTAAGTGTGTGTGTGTGTGTGTGTGTGTGTGTGTGTGTGTAGCAGCATTCCACTTCCTTTTCCTCAAGTCACTCTCCCATCAGGTTTTACATTTTTAAAAATAGGTCCCATAAAATTTTCCATTATATGTGTCATTTGATTTTCTGGTCATTCTTTTATTTTTTAATCATCACCTGAGAATATTTTTCCATTGCTTTTAAATAGCAATATTTTTCCATTGCTTTTTTGTTGAAGGAAGGGAGGGGGGAGGGAAGGAGAGAGAAAGAGGTGAGAGAGTAACATCAATGAGTTGCCCTCCTCAAGTGCCCCAACTAGAACCAAACCTACAACCCAGACATATGCCCTGACTTGGAATCAAAATGGCAACCCATTGGCGGACAGGATGATGCTCAGCCAACTGAGCTACCTAAGCCAGGTTCATTACTGTTCACATGTGTCTTCTTTGGGGGACACATTTTTTTTGAGATTGGTAGGTGAAAG